GAATGAGTTGGTTACCATGACAGCAGGCTCCTGAAAGAAGGGAAGTTGGACTTCTGTCCTGTGTGCTCACAAGATGTGCAAGAGGCCCTCACCTGATGTGGCCCTCAGTACTGAGCTTTCCCATCCCAGAACTGTTTAAAATAAGCTTTCATCATAAGTTACCTAGTCAGTGATATTCTGTTATACCAGCAAAAAAAAAATGCTGAAGTGCCAGTATGTACCATTCCTGCAGTCACCTGGCAGTCCTGTACTTTTCACGACTGCCCAGGGCAGGGTAGAAGGTGATTGAGGACCATGGCCTCCCTGTCGTGGCTTTGCAGTGCTGCTGCTGCTGTTTTCATCTCTGAGAGAAATTACAAATGAGGAAAAAGGAGCCACTTAGTTGTCACTACATCCAAAAACTCACTTCACATATTATGAAATACAAAGCAACTCCAATATGAAAAATGAAATACATGAATATGAAAAATAACAGGGATAAAACACTTATCTCCGCTATGGGAATAACACAATAAGAATGGGAGCAAAAGGCAGCATTCAGAGTTACACCAGACCAGGTAATGATGGGAAGAGACCAGGGCAGTATGGGATGCACCAGCCAGTCTCTTGCTTGGGTCACCATCAGATCTCACATGATCCCAGTGCTGTTAGTCCAGGGCCAGTCCCTGAGCTGTCCCAGAAATGTCTCCAGTAATCCAGGAAAGACAACACTGTGCTAGTCACATTAGCTTGCTGTGACAAAGACTTGAGAACAGGGATGTCAGAGGGTGAACTCCTTATCTGGGCTCGTAGATTGAGAGGTGTGTGATGAGGGCACTGACTGAGCAGAGCTACTGCCAGCATAGAGCCTGGGAGCAGAGAGAAGACACGTCCATTTTCTCTTTTACTTCTGGGCCCTGTGGGCCAGGTCCACCCTTCTTGGTCATCTATGGAAGTACCCTCGTGGACACACCTAGAATTGTTTAATCTAGGCATTTCTCAATCTCATCAGGATCATAGGATTCATGAGCACAGCATGTTGTTTTAGGTGGACATAGAGAAATCTTTTTCTTATCTCAAACGTGTATGACTCATGGTCTTGACAAATTCTTACAAACTGGTTAAACAGTTCACAAGCATTGCCAATGTACCATGGCCTCATGTTGTAATACTGATTGTGGGCCCTGCTTCCAGCATTCCAGAATGGCAAAAGGGCTCGTAAGGCTAACACAGCACTGGCCTCAACTCAAACAAGTGCATGACTCCAGTTACTCATTACAGTATCTTTCCAGTTCTCTCCGTCAGTGCCATACCCACCCGGAAATAGCACTGTCATCCCCAAATGTCGCATTATCGGGGAGTTAGGAAGACAAGCCTTCTCTGGATTTGAGCAGTATGTTTATTAGTTGTCCTTGCTACGGTATGAATGTGACACTCATAAAGCCAAAGCTTAAATCAGGCAGCTTACTTGTCCTGTGGTAGCTTGAAGGAGAATGACCCTCTGTTCCTCCTGAGTCTTGCTGTTTGCTTGCTCCGCGTGTTTGCTGTCGTTTCTCTTTCTGCATGACCCATTCCGTGCTTCTCTTCCACCTTACTTACCCCCGGCTTATCACATCCTGGCCTTAGTTAGCCTCGAGTACCCTGAGGCTGCCCAAAATTTCCACTTCACTCACTTTCCTGCTACACAGAACTTGATTTCCTTTGGACAAACATACCCATCTCTTAGCCCAAGCTAAAATACAGGATAGGGCAAACAAAATGGAATGGCACCTCGAGAACCCTGCCATGTGCTGTGGTTTGACCTGTGCTTACCCAACTCTTGACATGCACACCAGCACCAAAGAGTACTGACCTGGGTTATGATAACACTCAGGACCTTCATCCTCTTTGCATGGGCATACTGCCCACATGTCTAAACATCCCTATATCTTCCATGTACAGATCTATAGAGACTTTTTTTTTGTTATAGGCCTTGGCTGTACAGCCCCATTCTTCCCCTATCAGATTACACTGTAAGAATTGTAGCCTTGGGTCTCAGACGAACTGACCTGCAGTGAGTCCCATTCTCCAATATTGGCTGAGTAGCCAGCTAGGGTGGGATCTAAGCAAAAAGCTGGTGTTGGAGTACGGCTTCAGAAACTCAAGACTAGCCTGGAATGAACTTTGATATGGCTGCTTACTGAAAGCACCCTGACAGTTCTGATGACTTTATCCCCCAGCCCACTGGAGTGGCCTGTACTTCTACCAGGGGCACTGCTCCGTATGTCCAGGTGTGTGGTTTCCCTGTGGGATCTACAGTCTCTAGACCTTTCCTCCTATGCCCAGGTCCTCCAGCATTTGCCGAGGCTGCTGAAGGTCTGCCCCCTGAAGAGGGAAGGAAGGAATCAACAAATGCCTACATGTGTGGTGCTCCCTGTGCCAGTACTGATCTCCACACGTGACTTGACTTTTTTTTTAATCACACTGAAAGCCACATCCAGCATATTCAAAGCCATTTCTTTCCTCTCTAACCTATCCAGCTCTCACCAAAATTCTGTCTGATCAGTGTAGCAGCTTTCATCAGCAAATCTGAATTCCTATTCACTTCAGGAGTCAGTAATGTGAGGATAATGGAATGGAAAAAGGAGGTAGCAGCGTCCTCAACACCTGGGAAAGTGAGAAACACCATTAAATGCCTTAGCAACTGCTTTTGTAATCCTGTATTTCTGTGTGTTAATTGTTTGATTACCATCTCCCCCATTCATAAATACCTCAAGACCTGGACCAGTGTCTTTTCTAATGATGAAAAGATGTAGCCATGGCTCTGCAGCAGGACCGGTGTTTAACACGGATCCACAAGGATTCAGAGAACTCCCAGTCTTGTGTGGAAATCCAACTGTTGCTTTTTTATTATTTTTCTTTACTGAAATGAAAGTTGGATCCTCTCAGGGCAATGTGAACATTTTCTATCTCCTTGTGCTCCTGTTCTGTTTCCCTTTCCAGACCACCCACGGAGCAGCAACCTGGCTGTTTCCGATCGCTTCCCTCTGCCTATTTTGCCATTCCAAGTCTCCAGCCTTACAGCAACCCTATTGTTATGTCCATCTATAATAGGAACTCTTTACAGCTTTGCAACGTCAGTTAAGAGATTAGTTAAATGTGCAGTCACCCTTCTCTACTCATTTTCTTGCTCCTAAGGTGTTTTTTTTAAAGTGCTGAAAGCTAAGTGCTTCCCCAGAAGGCCGTTTTGGTAATGCTGTGTTTATCTAGGATTTCCAGCCTCCGTGGTAATTGTACTGCTGCGTGTGGGAATATGCAGCTGTGCCAGTAATCATAAGGTATGGGACAGCGCTGCCTGTGCAGCCGAGTGGATGAATCTGGTGCCACTGCTCATGAGCACTAGGCTTCCGAGACAAGGGAGCCAGAAGGGCAGGGCGAAGATGAGCTCACTGTGCCTGTGTGACACCTTTCTACATTCGGTAGGCCAGCTTCTCCAGCATTATTTAGGACGGAGGATTTCCAGCTGGGACCTTAAACGAGTGCAGGATTTGAAATGTAAATGGACACGTGAGTCTCGGGGGCTACAGAGAATGATGGAGAAAGAGGCGTGGCCAGCAGTATCGGTGTCCATTTATGTGGTCTGTGGTGAGGAATGCTGCAGTCACAGCCCAGCACTGTGTACTCTGCCTATAGCGACTGGGCCTTTTGTCTTAGGACAGTATCTTGTTCAATTGTTTCTAAAATCATTTAAGGAGGTTTGGGAGTTTTTATATGGCTTTTATATTCATCTGTGTATGTTGTGTGTCACTGTGGGCTCATGAACCGTAGGGGAGATGTCTTTTAAAGTGTACATTCCTGAGTCCCAGGTCAATAAAACAGTTTCTGGGACTGAGGCTTTGACCATATCCTGACCAAACTACTCAGTTGGCTCTTTTGTTCCCTAAATTTAGACCATGTGCTGAAACTTAACTATTAAGCCTCAAATATCCAATGGAAGTAATAGCCCTGTGAGCAGCCACCAGTCAGCTTTGTTGAAGTTCCTAAGGTCGGGATTTTGTGGAGCCATGAGAAAGGGCAGGCCAAGGAGAAGGAAGGGATCCTCCCAGGAGGAAGGAACAAAGACAGAACAGCCGAGGAGCCAAAGGAAAACCTCCCTCCGTAGTTTTCCCCAGGTTTAAGAATCAACATTAGTTGAGTTTAGCAAATGTATGTTGACCTCTTGTGGCATAGCAGACACCAGGGATAAAAAGGAGAACTAAGCCACTTCCCTCAAGGAGGTTACGGTTTGGTAAAGGACGCTCTTAAAAGAAGTCATTTGAATGAATTTGGTAAGTCCAAAGACTGAGGAGCAAGTAAGAATCTTTGAGAGCTAAAAGAGACCCTACCAGAGAGAATGAAATGCTACACGGGAAGACCAACCTAAGATGGTGACGGGAAACCAGGCCCACACTTCCTTAGTCGGGAGTACAGTGAATGGGAAAGGCAGCCAGGCATCCTGGAGAGGCTCAGCCTGCAGAGATCTATGTCTGTGTGGCTTTTACGGAGCTCTGTGGCCAAGCATCTAGGGCTCCTGGACGAGACCTATGGATTTCAAGTCAATAATCTCAATACGTTCATTTGGTTGCTTCAAAAACATTCTACATCCAGAGTGTGGCCACATTCTGAGACATTCCACACAGAACTGATATCAAACTTATTCAAAATAGATTTGGGGCTGTTTTAGCTGTTGTGGAAGGTTATACAATAACAACAGAAAGGAGCCGACAGACGAGGAGGAGCAGAGGAGCGTACTCTCTCTACAGCCTTTACGCTGCTTTCAGCTAAAGTTACCTGTTAAAGCACATAAAAACTGAGGCAGGTTTATCCCATGACATAAAGAAGTTTTTTTAAGCAATAAATAGGTGACTGAGTGTGTCCTGTAAGACAAATGACTTATGCAGAAGTGACAATAGCACCTATTGCTATAAAAATACCTTTGTCTGATAAAAGCCAGGAACTGAAGAAATCATGGGGTGACTTCTGTAACCCTCCTGTTTTTCCAGTTCGCAGCTCACCTTGTGAAGATGAAATATCCAAGAGTCTGCATTCTAGACGGCGGCATCAATAAGATTAAGCCAACAGGACTCCTCACCGTCCCTTCTCCTCAGATATGAAGGACCATGTGCATGGCTGACCAGCAGAGAGTGGCATCGCCCCAGGCACAGCTCTTCACAGGCTGTCTCCCTGAGACACAAGTGGACATCCAGACCACTGCAATGCCACAAGTTTTGTCATGAATCACTGTGTAAATCTTCTGAGCCCAACATTCACCTGTCTAGGCAGGAAACTTGACTGCACATGTATTACTGAAGGAATTTTCTTAATAGTGAAATCTGATCATGTCTTTTTACCCCACTGCCACATAAAGCCGGAGGAATTCAGCTGACAGGGCAAATTTAACATTATCAAGACTTCAAGATGCACTGAGAAAGCTGCATCCACCGCTCTGAGCAGACTGTCCTGACAACGGGGTTCAGAAATAGGGTGTGAAATCACCACCTTTTCATTACAGCAGGAATTAGAAAGCTATTCATAATAAATGTGGCATTTGGTAACTCACAAGTGTGTGTGTGTGTGTGTGTGTGTGTGTGTGTGTGTCCATTGTGAAAAGTGGCAGCAGCACTCTCAGAGAATGGGATTTTAAAACCAGACATATTGATAACTTGTTTGCCCACTTCCTATGGCAGGAACGCAAAGTGACTCACACAGCTTCTCTGCTCTGACACATACAAGCCTGTACAGGCAGAGGCTATAATCTTAACCTTCACATGATGCAGAGGCGACAGCGTCTCCTGCTGCTTTACCATGCCACAGTTTTCCTTCCGTGAGTAACTGAAGCTGTGCAGACTGTGGCAGCATGCACGGGTCTAAGGCAGGTGGGCCCCAGTGCTGAGAAGGGAAATGCACACAGGCCCTGTCCCTAACCAAGAAGCTATCCAGGTCAATAACCACTCACAAAGGAACATTAGTTCTCCAAGGGAGTCTCACTGGGGGTAACAAACCACGTGTAAGGGCAGGCCCCAGGCTCATCAGTAGAACACCATCACAGCATGAACTCAATTTTATTTTTGGAGTTTTTTTGTTTTGTTTTGTTTTGTTTAGGGATGGAGGAGGTGGTGGTTTGGTTTGGTTTGGTTTGGTTTTGTCTAGTGTTGCTTTGTTTGGGCTTTTTTACCTGATTTTTTTCTTACATATCATTGTTTCTTATTTTGTGTTTTTTACTGTTTTCATTTGTGTGTGTATGTGTATATATGTGTTTCTTTGTGTTATTTTTATTTGTTTTCTTTTAATCTGGTCTTGTTTTATTTGTCATTTTTTTTCTAAATAGAGAAAAAGAAGGCATGGAGTTGGAAGGGTGGGGAGGATCTGGGAGGAGATAAAGTAGGGGAAACCATGATCGGAGTATAGTATATGAAGAAAAAGGAGGGCACTTCCTTCCTCTCACAGACACAGACTGGACACTCACATCCCTTCTACTGGTCCAGCAGTGGCCAGACTGCGCACATATGGCTGTGACCAGGAATTGACAAGAAAAGCTGAGATTTCAGCCTCTGGCTGAGAGCCATCTCTCAGCTCAGAGACCCTGAGTACACTGTGGGAAGAGAAACTATGTACTGAGAGCCAGCCAAGAGCCTCTGCCTTGGCCACATTATTTGAAAAAATTAAATGCTGGGCTTTACTGAATCTAAGAGACCAGAATTGTATATACCATAAATATGTAATCAGAAAAACTAAGACATTTCATCATTTGTAAGAGGAACATTTTTTTCAGTGAGATACGTCCTTAATTTCAATTGTGTTTCAAAAGTATTCACTTTTTATAACTTCTCTTCCTCTTCATTGTGAAGACTGTCTGATCTGAACATTTGTACAGGCACCTCAAGTTTCTGGGCCATGATGTCATTCTTACTGTCTTTATTTTCTTTGCATTTAATTTGAATTCTGTGTGCATATGTGTATGGGTGCTGTTATCTGCACATATGGTGTCATCTTCTTATTCACCCTTCTGGGTATTTTCGTTTGCTTTGTTTTGAAGACGAGGTTTCTGGCTGAACCTAGAGCTCACTGCTTGTCCAGATTGACTGGCCAACAAGCTCCTGGTCCTTCTTCAGCCTCCAGCCTAGAATTGCAGATGCAGTGGAGCCACCATGCTCCACTGTTTAGATGGGTGCTGGAGATCCGAACTCAGGTCTTCATACCTGAAAGACAAGAACTCTCCCCACTGAGCCATCTCCTCAGTCTGCATCTATTTTTAAGTAAAACATACTTTGCAAACCACAAAATTTACCCTTTTATGGTGTGGGACTCAGTGGTTTCTTCATTATATTCATGAAGTTGTGTTGTGGTTACTTAAAACGCTGATTGGCCAGGCAGGAAGTAGAGGTGGGTCAACCAGACAGGAAGTAGAGGCGGGACAATGAGAATAGGACAAGGCTAGGGAGGAGAAAGCTCCCTCCACCATTCCTGCCCAGATCACCGAAGAAGCAACATGTGAGCTGACAGCTGAAAAACGAAGGTACTGAGCCACATGGCTAACACAGACAAGAATTATGGGTTACTGTAAGATGTAAGAAATAGTTAATAAGAAGATTGATCTAATGGGCCAATCAGTTTATAATCTTATGGAGTCCTGTGTATGATTTTCTTTGGGGTTTGCCAGCTGTGGGGTACTGGGCGGGACAGGTACCCCAACAAGCTGGCCCGTCATGTTACAGTTACTACTAGGGTCTAATTCAAGATCATTTATATCACCCCAAAACAAAATATTATATTTATTTGCAGCCATTTTCCTATTAACCTCTACTTCGTCTTTGATTTAATTTTTGAACATTGAGTAAGACAGGGATCTAACGTCACTTTTGCATAAGGATATCCAAGTCATTTAGATTTTTCTTGGTGGCCTACAGAGATGGCTCAGTCTTATAAAGGCTAGGTGCCCAACCAAAATTATACTTGGTTATTTACCAAATATCTTTTGAATATCTACTATGTAAGATGATAATGTGACCAATAGCTATCATTGTGTGACCCTTACATATTTTCTAAAGAAAAATAGGCTTAGAAAAACTAACCAGTATTTTCTAATACCATTATTAGACCATCATGTACCTTGTCGATTGCCGCTGGTTTTCTTCAGTCTTTAGTGGTTTGATTCACAGTAAGAGTGCAGCACTGACAGCTAACTCAGGGGAGTTGATTCAGGTCTTACGCATAAGGCAGAGAAGGGAATAGAGTGACCTCAGTGTGACTTGGTAGAGCGACAGATAGGAGAGGAAGAGGACAAGAGCGTTGTGTCAAAACCGTGAGAAGAGAGTAGTAGCCCACCTCCATCAGGATCTTCCATGTGATTTTTCTTAAAACAGAACACACTTGGGGCTGGAGAGATGGCTCAGCAGTTAAGAGTGCTAACTGCTATTCCAGAAGGGGTTCAATTCCCAGAACCCATAAGGCAGCTAAGAATTATAACTTCAAGATCGGACACCCTCACACAGACAAACATGCAGGTAAAACACAGATGCAAATAAAATAAAAAACAAATAATTAAGAAACAACACACTTAGGTGTGTTCTAAAAGATGACTAAATGTTTTAACATAAAAATTTTAAAGTAATTCCTAATATTCTCAACTGCAGCATCCAGGGCATCATGGTTGATATTGTTGATAGACTCTGCATTCACCTAGGAGACAAGCCTCTAGGCATGTCTGTGAGGGAGTTTCCAGTTGGGTAATTGAGAAGCCCTACCTAACTGTGAGTGGTGCTAGTCCAGTAGGCTGGGGTTCAGGATGGAATAAAGCAGAAAAAGAAAGCTGAGCACCATCATTCCTCCTCCATCTCTGTTTCCTGACTGTGGATGTCATGTGACCAGCCACACCCAGTTTCTGTTACTATGACTTCCTTTCTGTGATACAGTGTATTCTAAAACTGCAAGCAAAATTTGCCCCATCCTGTGCTGTTACTGTCAGGAAATTTTGCACCAGAAACAAGAAAAGTAATAGAGCATGTTAATCCATGGCAGGTCATATCAATAAAGTTGACCTTAGCAATTGTTTCTTAAAGTAAACCCATATAGCAGTCCTTTATAATATATATATATTAGATTTATTTATTATATATATTGTGTTCTGCCTGCACACCAGAAGAGGGCACCAGATCTTATTACAGATGAATGTGAACCAGCATATGGTTGCTGGGAATTGAACTCTGGAACTTGGAAGAGCAGGAGTGCTCTTAACCACTGAGTCATCTTTCCAGCCCTAGAGTATATTATTGATATCACTACTGAAACTATTTCTGGCATCTATATTCCCTTCTACTTAGAAGGCCCTTACTACCATCATCAGCAACACACACACACACACACACACACACACTTAATTTTTTGATCCAATCACCATGGTAAACCTTCAGTCTTCTCTGGTTTATCCATGCTTCCTTAATAGCCTCAACTCGGACAAGATATTTCATTTATACTTCTAGAAACAGATATTATAACAAAAAGATTAAGAGAAGATTAAGGAGAAATACATTACATTAATGAGGAAAAACTTAATTAAATTAAGCCTATTTGGACCAGAAACACTGATGACATTACTCAAGATGAATATGCAGAATTCTATAAGAGCCTTCAATGACGGGGAAGATCATTTGGCAGTCAAGCGCGTCTCTATAGAAAGTCAGTTGGAGTTCAGGGCATTGCTCTTCATTCCTCTGTAAACTCCCTTTGCCCTTTTAGAGACCAACAACAACATCAATCTGTATTTCTATCCTGTGCTCACCTTGGTGGTGTGGGAGAATTATCTGTATTCTGTCAATCATATTTTAATAAAACACTGATTGGCCAGGCAGGCAGTATAGGCGGGAAAGCCAGACAGGAAGTAGGGGTGGAGCAAAGAGACTGGGAGTATTCTGGAAGCAGAAGCTCTCTCTCGGCCACTCCTGCGCAGATCACTGAGGAGGCAGCATGTAACTTGCCCAGCTGAGAAAGGTACGGAGCCATTATGGCTAACATAGATGAGAATAATGGGTTAATATATGTTATAAGAGTTAACAAGAAGCCTGACCTAATGGGCCAATCAGTTTATAACCTTATGGAGTCCTGTGTGTGATTTTTCCTTGGGACTTGCTGGCTTGTTGGGGTACTGGGCGGGACAGAAACCCCAACAAGCTGGCCCACACACTACAGATGGCGCCCACATGGATAACTGAATCCACAGAAAGCTTGAGAAAGTTTGGGAAAGAATAGAATAAAGCATGTTTTCTTGGTGGCAGCAATTTCTCGGGTCTGCTCTGCTTGCTAGAGGCAAGCAAGCGCTCTCATCTAAGAGAGGCTTCCTGACTCAGCTTTAGCTGCAAAACCTTGCAGCTCATTAAGAGGTCCTGCCACAAAACACTTAAACGGTGTTGTTGAAAAGCTGAACGCATGCTTTTTTGTTTTCAGGCATAGAAGGAAAAAAGCTGCACTGTTTTAAAATGCTGGCTTTCTGGGCTGTCCTGCCAGAGCAAACTCTGACTCTTTCAGGCAGGCAGTCCGACTGAGTGTGGTCTGTGAGCAGAATGCTG